CCCCAAAACCCCAAAACCCCAAAACCCCAAAACCCCACATTTTAAAGTAAATATTGGACATTCTAATTGTAAAATGGAGCCTACTCTAGAAGAAAGAATCCCTTTTAACTTATCCAGCATTATCTCTTCAAAACCAGCGTTAATGTTTACGAACTCATCATCAGAGATTATTGATATGGATATTTCTAGGTGTGGTTACTACCTCATCGCTGTTAATGAAAAAGACCAGCTTCTGTACTTCAACCTTAACGAAGGAAGCTATATTGATACTTATGATCAAAGGTTAGAGTACGGATGCTCAAAGGCGAAATTTACTGAGGAGCCTACGAAAGTGGTCTGAGCTAGTAATCGCAATAGCAAGCTACTAAAATGTGTTTATATATTTGACTTGAGTGAAAACTACATTCCTGTAAAATTTGATTGACATCTTGGCTCTATAAAATCACTGACGGCAAGCTCATCATACCCAATTTTCACTAGCTGAGACTCTCGAAGAAGATGAATCCTTGCTGACTACAAATAAGGAGGTAATAATCGAAGAGCGGAAAGAAGTTCTAACCTCAACATTTAATAACAAAGGGAGCCACCTCGTGATTGTTCAAAAATAATGAAAAAGCTGACTGTCAGGAAATATTTTCTATTGAAATCGGTACAGCAAACTCATCAGCAAAGATTATTAACAGAATGTACAGAGATACATACCCGGATGACTTCTGTTATGCCCAGATCTCACGAAATGGTAAACTCCTGGTGCTAGGCACCAAGAGGAATTATTTCTTGATAATGTGAATTAAAACTAAAAGAAACATGGAGATCTTCCCTGAGAAGCCTTTAAAGAGAAGAGAAGAATTAAAATAATGAGATAGGCCTTAAAGACCGTAAGATCAAGAAGAAAATCTTCAGACCTCTTAGCATCAGCCCATGTAGCAAGTATCTCCTGGTGCCAGATACAAGTGACCAAAATTTCTTTGTGATAAAGATAAGGCTAAAGTGCCAACAAATAAGTAAGACTATGAGCTAACTTACATTAGAGAGTAAACACAAAGATAAGATATTGTTTAAAAAATGGAATTCCAAAAGAGTATCCAGAGTAATGTTTTCTCACGAACACCTGATGTTCATAACTGCTTGCAATAATATCATCCTGTGGGTACCGGATTTCGAGCACATAGTACATGATATGAAAAAGGAGCCTGATATATATGACTAAGCCTCAACTACTAAATGGCTAACTTCAAACTACTAAAATTTAACATTAAATGGGGTTTTGGGGTTTTGGGGTTTTGGGG